TTCGTTTGATGCGGCTGCAGTGTTATTAAACGATGTTTATGTCGATACACAAAGGTTCGTGATACAACTAGATATTTTAACTGTAGAACATGAGGAATACAATTGTCATTTCTGAGTGAAGGCGATTAATGGTGCTTAATGCATTTGACCTGATCTTTCCTGGGCAATTGATAACAGTGATGGTATACCATTTTCCTCTTCTCTATGAATGATGAAGAGGTGATACTGAGGTGTGAATAAAGATAAAAAATTAATGAATGGTTGTGGAAACGATATTGTCCAAATGGTATTCGTGGTGGTATGAAATTTTAACCACACCACAATGTCATTTTGACAACAACCACACTTCATGATTCCTCGACTCCGCAGCCTTCGGATTCATGTACCTGAACTATGCTCCAAACCCCTGCGTCAGCCACGGCGATGTTATTCTAAAAGTCGAAATACCTCAATAGTTCCGTTTAAGTAAATAATTAGTCTGCCCGCGCGTGTCAACTCCTTTCGTTGTTAGTTTCAAGAGTGCTGTGCTTGTTTTATACCGCTCAGTGGTAGGGTTTTTTTCCTCGCTGGAAAGTGAGATTCGATCTACATGTTAGCTTGCGCAGCTTTCTCCTTCCAGATATTTCCCCCAGCGGAACACTGCCCCAGCCGTGAAAAGCTCCAAGCTGCCCACTGGTTTCACAATAACTGTGAGAGTACAATTTATCTAAATGCGCCTATGGGGAAACAAGAAAACTAGAAGACCATAGGAAGAGAAGATCGTGCGCGGTCGATTGCCTGTTTGACACTTCTCCGGAATTCGTCTACAACTGATCGGAGAAACCACGAAAAACTTGGCATCAGAGCAGTTGGTCGCTATAATTTACAAGCCAGCGGCTGAATACATCTTTCTACATAGCTAGTGACTAAAATCCTAGCCTAAAGCTTCCCGGTCGACGATGCTGCAGCGGCAGTGGATGTTGTCACTGAACCGTCCCAGCTGGTATGAGTTCCAAGTCTAAAAGTTCGTTTTTTACGAATTGTTCAAATGTTTGTCCAAAACAATTCGTTGAGTGGAACAGTTTCAATATTGGAATGTGTGATGCAACATTTTATTTCAACTATCAACATTTGAACATGTCTTAAAGTGGACTGCTGATTGATATTTTAATTTTCTTGATCTTGTTCCAAATGATTACAGTACATTTAATTTTATTCCAAAACTGATAAAATTTCAATTATGTTTTCAACGAGCAGAATGAAGTCAGGAAGGTGGTGGGTATGGTATTAAAATAACAAGGATCATTTACAGAAATAAGCTGATAACAAAATCAAATTTCATTGTTGCTGCAGGCTACAAGGGAAATAACGAATGTTCGCCTAAATAACCTGCGTCATAGCTAGCGTTTATTGGTTGCTTTTCTGAGAAATGAGCTAATACTACCGTATTGGCTGCTTTTCGAAGAGATGTACCCTTATTGTAGCATACATTGATTGATTGATTGATTGATTGGTGTTTCCGGGCTCGACAATAGCGAAGATCACTACTTCCATAAGGGTAATGCATGTTTATTGCGGGAGGTGGCTGTGATCTTGCCCTGATGTATGGCGAGATCCGGCACCGACATACACATCGGCTTGGGTTTTTTCCCCAACCTGGTATTTTCCACCAGTGGGGATAAGCTCTAAGAGTCCGGTCACGAGTGGTAGTGTATTGTATGCAAGTGTGTGTGTGTGTGTGTAAGTAAGAAAAAGGTCAGAAAAGAACTAGGAATTATCACGCGCGGCCCGTCGCCGTTTGTTAGTGTACTACTCCGGCATTCGCCTTATATTGATCGGAGAAATCACGGAAAAGATGGGTGCAGTAGGCCCCTAGAATTTTCCTTCCGACTGTGGCTAAATTCGGCCACAATAACTAGCTAGTAGAGAAAATCCTGTGCTTGATCATACAATTTCTTTCTTAAAGTGTATGATGAAAAAATTATTTTGAAATTATGTTTCGTGGGAGAATTTTTTAAATGTTAGGTACTGATTGTATTTTGTTTATTGTAAATAGAAAATAATGTGTATTTTCAATCTCCACGGGTATAAAGGCTTAACCAGGCCAGCCTGTTTCAAAAAATGCCACACTTGGTCAATCATTTTGTTCCTTGCCCCCCTGCCCTTCATTCTTCCCTGATTTCTTCATTATCTTATTTTCAATTTCTACTCTTATAATGAGATCTTTGTAATATCTCTTTCGCATTCCCCCGAAAATTGAAGTGCTTTCCCCTCAGTTTATAAATTGTTTTTTTTCAACTTTTTAATATGCGTTGTTAATTAAGGAGAACGCAGCTCTAACTCGAATTATGATGGATTTAAAAGTTCAAAAATTGCCCTATCGATTCGTGGCACGATGTTTGTTTTCAGTCATGAATATAAATGTATTTTAATTTTAATTCCACTAGTTGTGAGTTCAATTTCATTAAATTGGATTCATAATGAATGTTCAATTGATTTCGGTTTATGCATGCCACGTGCATGTGCCTACACATACTGTAAAGTACGTGCGATTGAAGTCATGAATGTGTATGTTTCACGAGTTGATCGACCATCGAGAGGCTCTGATACAAATACGACTTCTATGTTATGAATATTTCCATCATCCAATCAGTTTTCAAAATAATCCTAACTATAACCGCACGTCAGTAGAAACATATCTCCCACAGATTGTCATAAACCAACTACCACGTTTTCAGATGCTGCCAGAGTAAATTCTCGCACAATTCTTCACTTTTTAAATTTAGTACATAGAAAGCTGTATTTCAAACGAACACGTATTTGACAACATCCGTCCTTCATATTTTTGTTTTGGCATTGATACACGCACATCATCACATTTGAACTGAAAATATATTGCAGTCATATAACGTAGCCGCCTCATGTATGTAAACACTATAATTAAAAAAGACATGCCTATTAGTATTCCGTCTATTTTTACGTTGAAACTTCAGAAATACCATGTATGAAACTTTGTATATATCTTAGAGGAATTTTAGAAACTAGTTATAAAACCGACACACTACTCTGGGTGACACTGAAAGATCACTAATTACTTCCTTCCACTAGATGCAAACAGAAGCTCTTTAAGAATCTATATATTAAAGGAAATTGAATAATATTGAAAAAAGTCGTAATAATAATTCAATTAATGATGCTAATGTAGAAGATTAACATAATGAAATAGTATTATAAATCTAGTAGCTTAACGGTGTATTTTTGGTTATGCATCATCTTTTGTATCATGCAATTCTTCAGACTGAGTTCAGGTTACTGTTGTAGTAATGTATTCAGGTGACTACAGGTGTAAGGTTTAAAATAAAGTGTGTAATTATTTATTTTCCAACATTAATGATAACTCGCAACAAATAGACCGTATTCTGGAATTTTATTAAAATAATAGATGTTCTAACCTCTTGATAATAATTGTCTTTTAGCCACTCGTACTAAGTTTTATCTCATCAGTTTAACATCTTGAAACATTTTTCACTCTGTTTCTCTCATCAATCAATCATTAATTTCATCGAATAGATGTAGGTAAAACAGAACGCGCGGGGAAGTTTGCTTCTTCTTGATGACTTAAAAAGCTTGAAATTAGTAAGTTTCATCTTGTATAGGATGAAGCGTGGCACCACAGGAGTCCAAAGGGGCTGATGTCTCCTTGAAATGTAGAAATAAAACATAATACTATTGTGAAATATTTTAATGAATTTACTTCAAAATTTTACGTGAGTCACTTTTGTGAATTTATTTTCATACTGTAATGGAATTTCAATTATAGTTGGAAGTGAGTAGCCTCCATCAAAAATTAATATTTTTCTTTATTCCCTCGTACCTGTTCATAAGAACACAAAGCCTATGTGATGACCCTAAAGAAAAACCGCTCACTTCACTAACAATTACTCTTATACAACACAATTAGCATATTCAACACGTTAATACACGATTCCTGTACTATTAACAATAAAATATTGAATAATTTTGAAATATTGGCTCAGAGTCTCAATTGGAACTATTTTTCTCAAACATTAAACGCTTTATTAATGAAATAGTCATGCCAATGTAAAAGAATTGTTAATTTTCGTTGATTATTTCTGATATTTTAAAATTCACAATTTTCGTTACACTTTAAAATAGTTTATATTTCTTATGAATTTTCATCATTAAAGTCCCTAATAACCGTGTTTGCAGGGGTCTTTACCCTTAAATGATTTTTTTCTATTGAATATATTTTTTGTTTCAAGTGCAAACATTTGATACAATGGTCAATTATTCAATTAACTCTGACTCTATTTTACAAGTTATACAACATGGCTTCCAATTTGTCTATACTTAAACTTTTTTTAAATTATAAACTAATAATACTGTGCTAAGGTGGCAAAATGATAAATCACTTTTTCATGACATGAGGTACTAAATGACATAAATCACTCTTATCTGAAAATGTTTAGAAGTAGAAAAGAGATGCATTTCTCTTGAGGTTTCTGAAAGAACACGTGTGGCAAATCGCAATATTAAAATAAGACAAAAACCAAAGAGTAATATTTCATTACATTTTGATGCTTAAAATTGCTGTCATCAATTTTTTTTAAAAGTGACTTTTAACATTTTGCCTTCTTAGCACAGAATAATGTTTCCAATAATAATATAGTACACATAAAATATGTTATAAAATTCAAACAAAAATATGTATTCTACTTTGTGTAACATGTTTAATTTCTTTCAATCTACATATTTTGCTTTGTAGTAAGTGGCCCTCTAATCATAAATGAAGGGAAAAATAACATGTATTATTTCTGTTGGTAACATCTTCAATATTTGCGTCAAATGACAAAAGTTTAAGTGAAAACAACTTTAGAATGTTTAATAGGTTATAACTAATAAATGTTAGGGGTCGTTGGTATTTTAAATGTCTTAATTAACATAGTAGCGTGTCCGCTGCGTGCGGCGGGAGCGCGTGGCTAACGGGGGTGGCGTTGCAGGTGACGCTGGACGAGATGACGCGCCGCCGCGAGTCGTCGCTGCGCCAGCACGCCTTCTTCCAGCTGCGCGTGCACCTGCGGCGCGGCGTCGACCTGGTGGCGCGCGACAAGGGCGGTGAGTCTCCACCCCCTCCCTCCGCCACCCGCTGCGCTTTCTCTTGTTGCAGTGTCACAGCGAGCCAGTGAATACGTATATTGAGCTGGTTGTGTCATTTTGTTTATTGACTGCATGTAAAACATCCTCAGGCCAAGAAGAAATGTAACTTCAAATTACCTTTTTGAATTTGCCTTATTTTACGTGGCGAGACTCGGGCCATCAGGCCCGCTCTTCCGTCTGACCATGCAAATTTCGCTACGCTCCTTTCATCAACTAGCAGAGAAACGAGGTATTTCTTGGGCGAGAAACAGGCGACTTGAATTTAGCTCAGAGGCGTCATTTAGGCTTGAGGATCTTTTACATGCAACTAAATCTACTAACATGGGACAGCCGGCTTTACTTCCCTTCCGAAGAAAGACGTATGAAGGATTTTGTCGCCCTAAAAATCCACGGCTTCGATCGGGTTTGAACCCGCGAGCTTGGTGTAACAGTCCAATACCTCTCCCCATTGCACGTCACACACAGTTTTTGACTGGTTTTGAAGTAAATAAGCTTCTGAGCTGAATTCTAATCGCCTTAATCCCGGCACTCCCCACAGCGCCAGATCTTTAATCGACCGCTAGGTAGCTTTTGAGCCCTTTTTCACGTAGGCACCGCTGCGCGCTTCCGAACACCGCGGCTCGTTGCAGAGCATTGGTTTAAATGGAGATCTTCTCACGTGCGGGGTAGGTTTGCGCCGCTGCGGTGTTCGGCGGCGGAATTTTGCTACGAGAAGCGCAGGTGGGCGTACGCGTCACAACTAGCAGAACACAGCTTTAAATGGCAGGCTTGCCACTGTGCCGCCGGTCCTGCGTTTTACCTGCTTGTGTGGTGTAGCCAACAATATCCCATCATGGCTGGGTCCCATCTTCATTAGAGCTCTTCCACAACTCTAATATCTTACTGAAAACTCTCACCTTGTCCATCGCTGACTTCACTCAGGATCTTGGGGTTGAAGTCTCAATGTGAATTAAGAAAATGTTTCAAGGGCATTCGACAGCCCTAATTCATGTAATTCCGCAAAATATTTTTCATTAATAACTCCTTGTGATTTCCAAGTAACACCTTTACAACATGTTCGAAATAATTGCAAGTTGTGTGTTCTTTAGGGGAAAGTATGACTTCGAAATTTCTATCATTCAACAGTTTTCTGATTTCAGGACCAACAAGAATTCTCTCTTTCAATTTTGCATCACTAAGTTCGGTAAAATTTCATCTTAAATACTTTTTAATCCATCTTCTTCTTTGTTCATCGCTTTAATACATTTTTCATTAGTCCAAGTTTGATGTGAAGAGGGGGCAAGAAAATACATTGTGGATCCAGCAAAGGCTTACACTTTACATTTACCTTGCCCGGGATGAATTCACTTCTTTGGGGCCTCTCTTTGGTTGCATAGTACTTCCCTGTGGCTCCTCTAACCTACATGCAGAGAAAACAGCAGAATTTAGTAAATCCCCCTTCAAAACCAAATAACAATAATATTACTTTAAAGTCTGCGCATATGTGCCAATTGTGATTTTCGTACCCGATGCTTCTGAGATTACATCCATACTTTCGTATGATCCTTTTAAAACGACCGAATGTGCTGAGAGAATATATGGTTTTTAGTCCCTCTGTGTAAGAGCACAACCTTCGAAGTGAACTTGGACGAATCTGTGAAAAGTCTGTTCATTTGAATTACGTATACGTGAATACGATCGTATACGTGAATCCTAAGTCACTCATTAGAGAATTAGTATATTTGCAATAACAGTACATTTTCCGTACTGGAATTAGAAGAAAGCTTTTCATTTCTTTTCTTACATACAGTTCTTTTCGTATTTTCAGCCAATAGGTTCCATTCTTGCAATACGTAGCGCTATAAGTCAAGCCTTATTTTTGTAGAGCTGAAGATCTCGAACAATATGAGGTATATTGTTGGTTCTAGGGTCAAATGTTGTATCACACACTACTGGTTCTGTATTTTTACTTTCACAATTTTCATGTCGGTTGATGTGTCTTTCCATTCACATGGAAAAGTAGCTAACGGTAAATTTTCGCCATGCTTCTTTCTTTTCAAGTTCAAATCGATGTCGTACGAACATCAAATAACGAATAACGAAAGAAACACTAACAGCTTAACCACCAAAGCTGACAGTTACATGTTTAGATTTCTGCTAAATTCCCAGATTGCTAATTAAAAACGTCCCTATAAACCACGATATTCACTTCTTTCGTACCTATTGGAGCCAAATAACAAACAAATGGGACGTGATGGAAGATTTTGACATATTTTGACTGATTTCAGCGCATAAAATGTAAAAAGAAACCGCAATTTTCATCAACGTTACTGAAACCTTGTTGACCTGTGATACTAAAGAATGGAAATACGATGATGATGAGAAGCGTTGTGCGATTTTATGAATAATTTACACGTATTTTCTTCATAAGAAACAAGGTTTCAAAACACTTTTTTTGCAAAATTCGTGGTGTTCGCCGGTCTTTTTTTCCCTGTAGAAATGCCTTCAGGCATGTGGTGATGAAATTCTCCAAAGTTTTTCAGTATTTTATAAACAATTCAGAGTACTCAATTCGGAGTAATTAATTCAAGGGCATCCTTGCCTAAAAGACGTTTTAAAATATTTTCCTTAGATTTCCTGTGATCCGACACTTTGAAAAATGTATTATATTTAAACAATGTTTTTAAGGGCAGATGACGTTTTTAAAAATTAGTTGTTGTAAATAATTTAAAATATGAGTAATTAATTAGTACTTCGTTATTAATTAGTACTTAGTTATGAATTAGTAGTTTATAAATTCGACCTGAATGTAGGTGTAAGTTTCGTTGTGGTCCGCTTCGGTGGGCTAGCCAGCTTCAGTGAGGTACAAAAAAGTGAAGGGACCGGTTAAAATAAATGCATTTGCGATACAATGTTGATGGGTAAAAATGGTACAAGTATCATATGATATTTCTTTAATTTTGAGCTAATATGTCACCATGAAAAGTAAGTATATTGAGTTACATTTTCAGCAGTCAGGGAAACAGATATCTCTTCACCAGCGCCAACCGTATTGGATATGTATGACGACTAATGGCACCGAAGGCATCTCGGCAAATGCGATAGCAATGTATAATGACCGTCGTTAACAGAAATGGTATTTACCCTCAGTGTCCAGATGTTTAATGTACTGCCTAACGATCTTGTTTTGGTGTTTATCCAGAAGCGTATCTGAATCAAATAATGTGTGTCACCATTACTACTCAAATAAAAACGAAAGTGCCTTTGAGCTTTGATTGTTTATCATACGTCAATGTCAAACATAGAGGTAAAGAAAGAAGACACTCAGATTGTTGTAAGTAAAGCAGTCATGAATGTGCGAGGTACCTTAAGTAAGAGTACGAAGGTAAGTACTAAAAAAAGGGGGAGAGAAAGGGAAAGAAACAAAAATCGAAAATAAATTCAAGGACATTTGGTTTTAAATGTATCGTCTGAGTGTACAACCGGTTAAACAAAATTAAAATGTTCGAATATCTGGGTTCTTGCAACAAATCCTTTGATCGTCTTAATAACCCTGATTTAATGTATGTGTTAATGCAATTTACATATGTTGAGATAACTAATTCAAATGTATACCCTTCATTATTCTGTTTTGTACCAAATACCTTGAATGCCTAAAATACTGAACGACAATTAAATTATTACTTGCTTATGAAAGACATTTGAAATTACTGGTTTATCAAAACCTGAAAAATCACAATAATTAGCTAAAAACATATCTCTGGTACCTCTAACTGTTGGTTCAAAACTAACCTTAAAAGAATCCGATATTACGTTTTTCTTAAAATATATTTTTCGCAATTTTAATTTTACTTACCTGACAATATTAAAAGAAATAGAATTGTTTGTGAATTTGGAATCGAAGATTCGAAAAATAACCCCATTTTTCATAAAATCCGGAATAAAACATCTTCCTTGGCTGCATCTTGTTCGAAGTGCGACCGCCACGCCACCACAGTGCATCGTCGCCATTTTTTTGTATCGTCAGCGCCACACGCGGCCGCTGGGAGAGTGATGGGCTCCGCACCGAGTGTGCAGCGCCGCCGCCAGGCGGCAGTTGCATCTGAAGCTGCGAACGAGCGCCACGATATCCGACGGGGTTGCTCAGGACCACGAAGGGTGTTGCACTTCTTGGTTTCAGAAATACGTTTGTTTTTTTTTGTTTTTTGTTGTTGTTTTTTAATTATTTCTTTCACACAGAGACTAAAAAGTAGTTTGGTCTGTTCAATAATTCTGGAAATCAATTACTTATGTCGCAAGTTAACACATGTTCTCTACGAAAAGCCAGTTGTATCTCTGTGATATCAAAAAGTGTTCACACGGATGGAAGATGCGTTTAATTGAAGGAAATAGATGAAAGATTCAATATACCTAGAGTCTTTAAAAAATTTATTTCCCTCGTTAATGGCTGCCTTTATTTTTCTGTATTTTTGCACGCACCCTCCATATTTTTTTTTACAGTCGAATTACACAAACAATGTAAATCAGAACTTTTATTTACAGTATTAACACAGAATAATAGTTTTATATCTAACGTTTTTTGCCAATTTTAAACTGACACGTTAAGTAATGATTCGATTGGTTTGCAAAGTGCACGTCAATTTCGTCACGCAGATTTTGTTTGAGAAAAACGACAACCAATTGGAAATTGACAGACCAGTGATGATTTCATGAAGTGAAAATATGCAAACTTCTGCCCGCTTCCTTTGTGTGGTCATGTGCATTGGAGAAACTAAAAGAGAGAGGGGTTAAATTAAACATATATAATGTTCTTGAATAGAAGAAGAATGATGTCAGATTTCTACCGTATTTCATTGATCGCGAGAATTCCCTTTCTGTAATTGGATATATTGTTAACAACTATTATATACTCTTCACGTTTTTTAAAATACTTCAGATATCCAGAATTTTCCTTGAACCAAAGTTAGGGTTTTTATATT